GCAATGGTTTTTTTACTTATTTGGCCTCCGAATCCATTTTTTGCCAGTCTGCTTTGGTGGTGGAAACACATTAGCAGGTAAATCCTCTATCACTAGCTCCATATTCCGCAAAGAAACGAAACGAACTTTCCTTAAAAACACTAGTTGATAATAACGTAAAACGCAGAAGTTTATATTAAAGTATTACTTAAGAGTTATACCACTACCCATGCAAAATGATAACAAACTCAAATAACAGTCTGACACAGTGGAACAGGGGTACAAATGCACTTGTATCTCTTCTTTTTCAAGCCCTATTCATAGTTGGCTTGGAGCCTAAGTAATTGGCTGCTGGAAAGCAGCACATGTTAGACTTATTGCTTAAATCTTTTTACCTCCAAATAGAATGAAAGCCAAAAATTACCTATTTGATGAATTAAACTATAACTGCACAAAAAAATCAACATACATTTATTTCCACGAGAAAATATTCCAGCTATAATAAAAAAAAATATCACAGTATAAGTACAGAAAAATACATTTTTATAGAATCAATTGATGACTCTTTGGAAGATCCAACTTATGAGCACATTCATTTTGAGTCATCAGAAGACAGCAATTATTCTGTTATTAGACTGTTCTTTGATCTCTCAGGAACAAACAATTAGAGAAGACAATCCAGTAGACCACCTTGAAAGTGATCATGAGAATAATATATTCCCAACTTCTTTGCTTGAACCCAGTTGGTGTGCACCTATGGGAAAACACATGAAGTTTGAACTCACAGGTCAATACAGTATTGATGTACAGTATTTAGCTGCACTTTCAGACTGTACTCCAATGGATTGTTTTGTAAGTGTTTCTAGATTGTAAGATTTTAGATAAAATAGTTTTGCAAATAAACCTATTTACTACTATTATTACATAAATGGAAACCTACAGGTAAAGAACAACTAAACATTTTTCCTTGAAATACAGCCGTACATGGGAATTGTTAGAATACCTAGTATTTGTCAATATTGGTCTACTAAACCCATGTTTCATATAAATGTAATTTCTAGCAAACGGAGTGAAAACATATTTGAGTTATTACTCAAAATGTGGTACTTTAGCGACAATGAAAAGTGCACCGAAGGAGATAGGATTTATAAAATTCAGCCACTCATCACCATATTTGTTGAAAACTGCCAAAAGGTCAGACATTTTGTATTGACGAAACATTAGTACAATTTAGAGGCCGTTTAGTTATGAAACAATACATTCCCTAGAACACAAACAAATATGGAATAAAATTGTTCAAATTGTGTTGTTTAAACAGATATAGTGAAATATCCGAGTGTATGGACGAGAAGCTGACACAAGCTGTTCAGTTCCAACTAAGGTAGAAATTAATTTATCAGATAAATTATTGAATACTGGCCGTACTGTTGTAACTGACAATTGTTATACAACCATTGAGTTGGCAAATATTCTGCTGGATAAAAAAAACTTATTTGTTAGTACACTTAAATCAAATAGATGTGGAAATCCAAATGACGTTGTTACCAAGAAATTAAAAATAGGATAAGTTATTTGCAGAGAAAATCATCTGTAAACAAAACATTTCTCTAATCTTTCATATATCCCTTTCATGACCGGCTGACACGATCGTGAGCTCATGTTTATATGGGTATCAATATCAAAATAAACACATTTTTACTGGGATAGATGATTCAATATGTTGTGTCTATCATGCATTATCAGCACAACTGAAATTATTTAAGGAATTCGCGATTAGTTTGCAATAGAATACCTGAGAAGATGGCTGTGTATTTTGATGACAAAACCAGTAAACGTAAGTAAAAGATATTTTGTTTTTATTTTATGTATTTATTTTATGGTAACGGGTTTGTGGTATAAGTAAAGTTTAAACTTCGTGATAATAAACAAGATTTAAGAAATTATTGGTTTGTTTGTAGAGATCTTGTCCCATAATATTTGAATATCACAATAGTGAGTTGTCGTCACAAATACAATTTTCAATAGCAGGAAATTAGAAATACTAAATATTTATTGGTTTAACTTTTTATTAATTTTTCTCTATTTAAACGATACAAATATTTTTTTTTCTAATTACAGGTGTGCCTCTTACCCATGATTTGAGTCTAGAGTTATTAAATGATGGCAACGAGTCTGAAATAGAAGATTTAGATGACGAAAATGATGATGCTTTTGAGGTTCAAACATTTGAAAATGACATTGATGACAAGGATATTGAAGAAACTGTATTGGATGAAGAACCTGTTCCTTCAACGAGCTCTTTTCAGCAAGGAGGCAATGGAAAGACATGACATTTCAGCAAAAAAATCATAATTATCCAGAAAGTACACCTAAACCAATCAGAAATGCTATGGAGTACTTTTCCGATTATTTAAATAATGGTTTCTTTGATTTAGCTGCAAATTGTACAAATAATTATTATATGCGTAAGACAGGTCACATGCTGAACACAAACAGTGAAGAATTAAAGAAGTTAATAGGTATACACTTGATTATGGGATGCATTCCTTATCCTAGACTTCACATGTATTGGCGTCAAGAGATGCAACTTCACATGGTATCAAGCCAAATGTCACGAGACTGTTTCAAGACATTGCGTACAGCCTTGCATGTAGTTGATGAGGACATAGCACCTGAAGGTAATATGAATGCACTTTGGAAGGTACAACCCATCATAACTGCAGTTAAACGAGCATGTGACAGATTAGAAAGACATCCAGGTAATTATTCCATTGACGAACAGATTATTCCTTTCTGTGGAAGATGTCCAAATGGTTTAAGACAAGTAGTTAAAAACAAACTGCGAACTCAAGGCATAAAAGTGTTTGTGCCTACAACAAGTGACAGTCTATTGATAGACTTTGAGGTATATCAAGGTGCAAGGACTCCCTTCCCTGACAGATCACTTGGAGTTTCCGTAGCTGTGATTCTACACCTATCAAAGTCAATTCCTCCAGGAAGCTGTCTCTATTTTGATAGACATTTTTCATCAATACCCCTTATTGAACATCTATCTCAAATGAAACTTCATGGAACAGCTACTTTGATGATGAACAGACTTCCAGAACAGAGAAAGATACCTTTTAAAGAAGATCATTGTATGAAACAAGGCGAATCACAGCAATTTGTGTGTGGAGACTCAGTTGTTGTTAAAAGGAAAGACAATAAATCTGTGCTTATGGTATCGAATTGTACATCAGCTGACAATACAGTGAATGTGAATCGCTGGGATAAAACTTCTAAAGCTTATATTCAAGTTTCCATGCCAAAGCTTATTCACAACTACAATACCAACATGGGAGGTGTGGACGTTCTAGACCAAGGTATGGAATATTATTGCACATTCATGAAAACAAAAAAATGGACCCTCAAAGTAATATTGCATTTTATAGACCTTTGTGTAGTGAATGCTTGGCGCCTTTATATAACTGAAGCCATCAATGCACATATTCCGAAAAAGAAAATAGCAGATTTGCTTCAGTTCAGATTAGAAGTAACCGATGGTCTCATTGGAAAGAAAACTAAAAATCCTTCATCAACAAGTGAAGACACTCAATCTATGGATATTGATCCAGTTGTAAACCAAAAAAGGTATCGACCAGCCAATAATCCAAGTGACTCAAGGAGGTATGATTGTTATGAACATTTTCCTATTTTTGATGAAATTCCAGCTCCTAGAACATGCAGATTTGAAAATTGCTCTAGTAGGTCTAAAGTTAGATGTGAAAAGTGCAATGTTTATTTGTGTTTGTCACGCAACAAGTCCTGTTTTAGAGATTACCATAAAAAATAATAATTATTTTTTTGGAAATTTCTGTACCTGACAATATGTTCACCTATAATTGCTTGAAATTTACTACTAGTTTTTGTTTTATTTAAGGTTGTATGTAATAAATGTTAAAAAATTATAAAATAATTTTTATTTGGTCCTAACCTAATCCTAATTAGGTTTAATAAAAGTGAGTTTTATTAAACACTCACGATTGTGCATTGATAGAACATAAGCCGAGAGCGCATGAATGTGATATGTCATTTTTGACAAATTCAAACTATGAATTTTTTTTCTGCATTTTTTATATCTTTTTTAGATAGTGTATATCATATTTACTCAAAGGAAAACTTAATTTTCACTCAAAAAAAGTTCAGGCCTGAAAAGGATATCCGAATCTGCATAACCAAAAGAGAATTTTAAAGGGTGTCTTTGATGAGTTGCATCCAATAATGGAGTGTAGGAATTACATAAGATGATACATTTTGTCTGCTTAATCTTCTGTATACAGTGTCAGGTGAAACTATGGTACCATGAACATCTGCTAGTCTCCAAGTCAAAGCTGTGGTATTGACTATCCTCACTCAAAGCACTTGAACTCTAAGAAACCAATTTTCAAGTGTTTGTTACCCTTGGTCTTCCATCTCCAGGTCTTCTTGTGTGAGAACCAATTTTTTCGAAATCTTTGTAAATCACCAGATAATGAATGGAATGCCTATCATTATACAGATCAACTCTTTGAGCTACTTGATCTGACCTAAAGTAAATTATTCTGTTATTAAAAACACTTTTCTTTCCCAAAAAAGCAGCCAACAAAAAGGAATACAATCAATTAAATAAGCATTTTAAGTATATATTTGATTTTTCTAGAGCACCTTAACAAAAACTTTCTTTTAAGTCACAAAAAATGACAAACATTTAAAAACGAATGGAAAGAGACCAGATATTTAATTATTATACAGGATAATTCATCAAAATAAAAGGAGAAAACTGCAATCACTTGTCTGACAGTGTTATGTGATTTATATATCCCTATACAAAACTGCAAATGTAAGAAAATATAGTATTTGTGTGTGTTAGTTATCAGTGGTTTCACATATCCTAGGTGATGTACAGAATGTATTACCAGCGGATACCTGGTACTATTGTAAATTGCAATTTTTGTATTACCAAAAAAAATTGTACATTAACACTCTTTTAAAATACAATTTACCTTTTTAGACTTTGCTATATCAAACACCATTTTTGGGTCAAATCGACACTCCGGGGGTACTTGGTCGTCAAAATCCGAACTCAATGGTGTTTTTAGAGCCATAAATTTATCCGCAATGAGGTTTTCTGATTTCCTAGGACAATACAGCCATCTGGGAGGTACAGGACCCGGATTTCTTTTTGGTTTGCTCATTTTTAAAACTTTCTTTATTACTTTACTTTCAATCAGTGTTTTAAATATCTTGTGATAAATACATTATTATAAAGGTTTTTAAAAATAGATAATTTTAACATTAACTGTTTTCTACTTTACTTTTAATTCTAAATTTAAACTTATCGTATAATATCAAAAAATTTTCACTATCTCACCAAGAAGTCAGTCAGACTTAGAGGTGGGCTAAATATCACTACCCTGTGATTTAACCGCTGTGATTTAAAAATAACAATCACGACCTGTGAATAACAACAAAATATACTGCGACTGTGACTTCGTCACAGTTTAATGAACTCGTTCTTATTCCCCCTTCTCTGTCTGTAGTTCTTGATCGCTAAAACGTGAAATTTCACGTTCTCGTCATTCGTCTCACTCAGTCACAGAGTTGTGAAATGAGAAACGTGTTACAGGAAAACAAAGAACGAGATAGAGGTACTCGGCGGTATGGTGAAGTCTCTTTGACAGCTAATTTAGGCTATCTTCATTTTCTAGACCAAATGTGAACTGAGATAGATGTCCTTGTTTAGTATGTAAACAAAAACAAATAATATTTGACAAGAAAGAGTTATTGCAAACATGTTGTAAACACAGATTTTATTCTTTTATTTTCACAAATGACAATAAATATTTTTGTATATATAAAAATAATCTATAAAATTGTATTTAAGTACCTGTAATAATATACTATAATAAAAATTAAAATAAGATCATTCAAAATTAATTAATTTAATTAATTGATTATTTTCTCATTTAAAGAATACCATAACCCATAATACTCGTACAATATGGAAGTGAAATTATTAGAAGTAGCTATTTTAGGAGTTGTTAAATACTTGTGCATATTATGGGTATGTTATAAAATAGGGAATTCAAGGACAATGTATTATTAGGAAATGGTGGATATCTAGTTCTCAACTACCATTGTAGAATCTTGAGACAGCAGTTGAAGTGTTGTATAATCTATAACAAATTGCTTCAAGAATTGTTAATGAAAGAACTTTTGTTATTTTGAAGAGATTTTACATTTTAACATGTGGAATGAGATGCAAGTTACCTTTTGTTCAAAGAATAATGCCTAACAGGTTATTCCGTTTTACATAACATTGCAGTAGTTAATATAGAAAACATTGAAATTCCGGCAAATGAGGGTGCTGTTGATATTTGAGGATAGTAGTTTTAATTAAAAAGTTTTTATTTATAAATACCAATCTATAAGCCATTAAAATTTCAAAAATTAAACCTTTGTTTTATTGTGTTCACCTGTTTATAATGTTAATCCTTTATGATGGATATCTGTTAAATGGAATAAGTACTCTATTCCACAATGTCTGAAGCATGATATTTGTGCATATAAATTTATTGAAATTAGATACACCTTATATATCTGTAATTAAAAATGTCAAATAGGTATATTTTTTTTTTTTTTTTATTTATTTATGCCTCAACCTCATAGGGTCATTGGCGTTGTACAATTTAGAGTTTTACAGTTTATTTAGTACATTTATGGAATGTAAGTATGATGTCAAATTTTTCATATCAGTTCCGTCACTTAATATTGCCTGTAAGGTATCTTGTAATTTATATTGAAGTCTCTCCATGCGATATAAAGGACACTCCAGTAAAATATGGCGAACACTGAGCACAATATCACATATGTTGCACTTTGGTTTTAATTCACTCTCTAGCAGATGTTTATGGGTGATGGCGGTGTGGCCTATTCTCAGACGAGATAGGATGGTTTGATGTTTACGCTTATTTGGGGTTGATTTCCAAGGTAATATGGAATGTTTTACTTCTCGTAGTTTGGATGTTGATTGATTCCACTTGGTCTGCCAATCATTGATTATTAAGTTCTTGATTACAGGTTTTATATCTAGATGTGGAATGCTTCTGATTTCTACAGCTTCCGGACTCGAGATTGCTAGTTTTGCCAAAGAATCTACTTCTTCGTTACCAGCAATTCCAATATGGGAAGGAATCCATACAAAGTTGACATTTATGTTCATAGTTTGCAGTTGGCTTAATGCTGATTTAATAAGTAGTAGACTTGGATGACTAGGATATAAGTTATTTAGGGCAATTACAGAACTTAGGGAATCCGTAATAATGACAGGGTTTTTGATACTATTTTCTACCACAAAATTTATTGCATTGAGAATAGCAGTTAATTCGGCTGTGTAAATGGATGTTAATTTAGGGAGTTTCATTAATATTTTTGTTTTATTAGACATAAATGCTGCTCCCACTCCATCTATAGTTTTAGAGGCATCGGTATATATAAGTGTATGGTTACTGTATGTCTTGAATTCTTGGAGGACATATTGATATAATGCTTTGGGATGGTTATCTGCTTTTTTATATATGGAGAGTTTGGTATTGATAGATGGGATGGGAACAGTCCAAGGGGGAACAGTGTTAATATCGGGTATACAATAGATATCTTGAAATTTGAATTCAAGTTCATTGAGGTATCTATTTACCCTTTCATAAAAAGGAAGGTCAAGCCTAGCATGAGTTTTAAAGATATTCCTAAAACGGTCTGAATTTACATAGTGATTAACAGGATTCATAGGATTTGCCTGTATTGATGCCGCATATGTTAGTGAAAGTTGTTTTCTTCGGAATTCCAGGGGGACTTCTCCAGCTTCACAGTGTAAACTTTCAGTAGGGCTAGTATAAAAAGCACCTAGTATAGTTCGCAAAGCACTATTTTGTATTCGATCGAGTTGTTTTATGATATATGGTTTTGCTGAATCATAAATAATACAAGCGTAGTCGAGTTTGGACCTGATCAATGACTTGTACATAAGGGTCAGTGTTTTACTATCTGCTCCCCACGTGTTGTGTGCAACAGTTTTTATAATGTTAAGTGCAGATTGACAAGTACTTTTTAGATCATGAATGTGGTGGTTCCAGGATAATCTGTTGTCAAATGTCATGCCTAGACATTTAATTTTCTCAACATATTTTATTTCTTTATTAAATAGTTTTAATTCTGGAGTGATATAACTTCTTTTTTTTGAAAATAGCATAGCCTTTGATTTTGTTGTTGATAATTGAAGACCTGTAGAATTTGTCCATAATTCGAGATTCCATAGCACTTTCTGTAGATGGGTCTGAAGGGTTTTATCATTTATCCCTTTAACAAAAATGATTAAGTCATCTGCAAAGAGTCTAGCTTTTACTGGTAAGTCACAAGTGGAGATAATATTATTTATTGCAATAAGAAATAGGGAGACGCTTAAATTAGATCCTTGAGGAATTCCGTTTTTTTGAATTTTTGTATTAGATAAAGTACCGTTAACTCGTACATTAAAAGTTCGATGAGATAGGAAATTTTTTATGAATTGTGCTATATTACCTTTTATTCCCCATCGACTAAGTGTTTGAACAATACCATGTCGCCAAACTGTATCGTATGCTCTTGTTATGTCAAAAAATATTGCGATACATTTTTGTCCACATGCCATTGCTTCATGAATCTCAGACTCTAAACTAATAAGATTATCCAGTGTTGAACGACTTTTTCGGAATCCGCTTTGTTCCGGGGCAAGTAATTTATTATTTTCTAAAAACCACATTAATCTGTTGGATATGATTTTCTCGAGAACTTTACACATTACACAAGTTAGAGAAATAGGTCTATATGAATGTGACAGAGATTTTGGTTGATTTTGTTTATAAATAGGGATGACAATAGATGAACTCCAGATTTTTGGAAACTTGCTATATCTCCATATATTATTATAGATATTCAGCAAGTGTTTCTTTGCAGATGAAGGAAGTTTTTGAAGAAATATTGCAGGAATGTTATCAGGACCGGGAGAAGAGTTTTTTGTATTATTGAGTGAGTATTCTAATTCATCCATGGTTATGGGATAATTTAAAGGAGAAAGGTCATCAGGCGGTATATCAATACCTTTGGATTCCTCTTCCTCTTTTTTGGTCAAAAAATCTGGAGGAAGAACATTATCACTTGAGAATCTTTCAAAACTATTAGCTAGAATATTAGCTATGTCTAGAGGGGAAGTGTATATTTTTTGTTTTTCTTCTAAGAAGTTAATGTGGTTTGGGGTATTTTTCCCGGATATCTTTCGTACCATTTGCCATACTTTATTAATTGGTGTAGATGAATTTAATTCTGAAACAAACTTTTTCCATGATTCACGTTTACTTCTTTTAATTATAAATCTAGCTCGTGCTTTTAGTCGTTTGAATTCTAATTTATTTTCAAGTGTATTATATTTCCTGAATCGATTTAATGCTGTTTTTGAAAGTTTAATAGCTTCTTGACATTCAGAATTCCACCAAGGGACTGACGAATTTAATTGTTTACGATTCATTTTACCAACGGCTTTTTCGGCAGCATTCAATAATACATTGGAAAACTCTTGAATTTGACTATCAATATTATTATTTGATTGTAAAATTTCATGTAATGCATTCATTTCATTTAAAACTAGATTATAATACTCTTGCCAATTTGCATTTTTGATATTCCATTTTTCAACATTACAAGAGTATTGTATACTGTCAGGATTTGTTATTACAATCGGAAAGTGGTCACTATCATTTAAATCAGAAAGTACATCCCAAGATAAGGTAGCTGATAATGCTGGATCACATATTGAAAGGTCTATGGCAGAGGATTTACCAGTAGAAATGTCAAAATGAGTATTTCTTCCATCGTTTAGTAGGTTTAACTGAAAATTGTCCAACATTATTTCGATTCTACGACCTAATGGAGTAATTATTTTTGATCCCCATATGTAATTATGTGCATTAAAATCTCCAACTATTAGACGAGGTGAAGGTATTTGTTTAATCAAGTCTGAGATTTCATTATTGCTTGGGTTTTGTGTAGGTGGAATGTATATATTACATATGTTCATTTTTACAGGCCCTTTGATAGTAATTGCGACCGCTTCAAGTTGTGTATTGATTTGAAGAATGTCTACATCGATGGATGAATGAGTGTAAATTGCTACTCCACCACTAGCATGGTTTACATTTTCTCTATTTTTATATGTGCATGTGTAGTGTTTTAAATTATGAACTTTAGTATTTTTAAAATGAGTTTCCTGTAAACAAAGTATGGATGGAGTAAGTTTTTTAATCATTTGTTGTAATATCTCAAGGCGAGTGTAATATCCTCGTAGGTTCCACTGGATAATTGAGAAAGCCATTATAATATATCTTTTACAATTTCGTTATCGGATTCGGTGTTAGTTTCTGATTGTATGGATTTAAGTATTTTGTTTCGAAGTCTAGTGCATCTATTTTTTGATTTCCTATTTGATAAATTCTCATGTAGTTGATTTAAAAGTTTCAATAGGTTTTCTAGATCATTTGTATACGTTTTTATTAAGCTCACTGGGTCAGGAGTACCATGAGCATTTTCCAGTATATCTACTAATGTTTCATAAGATATTGAATGGTTTACTGAAGTATCTTCATATATTCGTCTAGCTGAATTTTTTATATCGTCAGTTACTTTAATGGTTCCTATGTTTGTGATTGAAGACTTTGGCTTTTTTAATTTAGGGTCTGGAAAGGGGTTATTTACTGGAGTATCATTTGGTGGAGGGGTTATAATTTCAGAGCGATTTCGTTTGTTTGAGGGAGGATCGTGGGACATTTGTTGAAAATCAGTGCTTTCTTTAACATGAGTAGATGGTAAAATATGGATATCCGGTTTAGTCGATAGTATAGGAGCCGAGGAAGATATGTTTTGCGTTAGGGGAATGTATTCATTGTCTATTGGATCAGTTGAAGTAGTTGGAGCAGCATTTTGTGCTTGAGATGTTTGAGTTTCTTTAGTAGTTGGGCAATTTCCAGCCGAATGTCCCGCTTGCCTACAATTAGTACATAGATCCTTCTCCATTACAAGAAATATACGATATGATGTCATTTCGTAATTCACAATTATTGAGTCGGGTATTGATGAGACTGGGGGAGAAATAAAAGTATGCCTTCTGAAACTGAAAATGTGTTTGTAATTAGGATTTGATGTACCAATTTTTAAAAAATTTATTGGAGTTACCAAAGTTAATCCCAAATTAGAAAGTGCATTTTCAATAATTGAATGTGGGATTGAAGGACAAACATTTGATATCAATAATCTTTCATTTGGTGACATTAATTTACGAGCCTGAATTTTTTGATGGTTTACAGTTATTATCCCTTTGTTAATTTGTAGAAAATTGTTAACTAAAGTTTCGCTTGTTAGATAAATGCAAATTCGACCATTTGACATTCTAGAGGAGAAGAGAATATTTTTTGGATGCATTAAATCACCAACTGCAAATAGATAGTCTTCCAACTTTGTATTTTCCAACGCAGGAAAAACTATTGCTTGTGTTTTGGATGGAAATTTAGGTACATTTTGATTTGTGACAGTTGCAAAAGATTGTTTCATATTTGTATTTGATGAACTTTGCTCCAATTCTTGTTCAGGGGCCCAAGAGGCGGAAAATTATCCATTTTTAATTATTATCATCGATAATTCTCAAAAACCCAGTCCGGTCCTGTCCCCTCGATATCAGAACTGATAAACGGTAGCAGTAAAAAGTTGTTGCTTTATAACCAAAATTGATTCTTGTTTACGTGGATTTAACTTAAATGTTAATTATTTAGATTAAATAAATATTTGTACTCACAGATTTTATACTTGTGGTGAGAAAAATCACTTAGATCCACTTTTTAAGTAAAACTGTAATTAGATTGATGCTTTTAACCACCTAAAAACTGGATTTATGTGGAGCTTGTTTTAAACCTCGTTTGACTTCAGAGGTCGATCGATCAATCCCAAATAGGTATATTGAATTTAATAAATGAGTTTATTCTTTATTCTATGTCTGATCTATGATTATTAAACACTTTAAAATTGTTTAGAAACTATTTATATTTTAAATTCCTTTTTACAAACTTTTTTTAATATCTCAAGCTTCAATAAAAATGTTCTTTTTTAAATTGATTTGGATCAAAACATCTATATCTGATCTACATCAGAGAATAAACTTTTATTTAAAATTTTAAGGGATCAATTCAAGTGAGTAGTCCATAAAAAAATAATCTATTCTAAACAGGCTAAATAAAACGACAATATTTTACTAAACCATTGAAATAAGGGCAGATATTGTAAAAACAGATAAAGAAGCTGTAACATCTGTTTTGCATTTAATAGCTGTGCGAGACTTTGACCAGAGTTGATCTTTTCACAAATAAAACCTTTTTGAGAACAAAGGAAAGGAAGCAAAGCGATAATAGATCAGACAAGTTGAAAACTCAAAATGTGTTGAATGTTTGATTGATGAACTAATTGCGACGTTGTCAGTTTTGTGACAGCAGTCCGAGATTTACAGAAAAAGCTAGAAGTGTGAAAAAAATTATGGAGAAAAATAAGAGATATTTTTATGAGATTTGAATCAAAGTGATAAGAGCGATTGTAGGTAGATAAGCCTCAAGAAAACTGACAATCGAAGGACCATATAAGAGAGAGAGAGAACTGATTCGCTCAATAGGTTAACTCAAAAGTTACCATCTACAGTCTGCCTGTGCTGAACTGACAACACAGCACTTATCTTTGCGATACGATTCCTTGGGGATTTACAACTAACAACTTCTGCAGTTCTGTGTACTCACATACACATACGTACATTGAAGTGAAGAAAAAGAGTGTTTAGAGTTTCAGTATATTGAATTTGTGTAACTCGTCGTATTTGCATCTATATTTAATAATTTTTATTCTTATACATTTTGAAAATGTCTCCAGTGCCAAATAAAAAAAAGAAAAATTAGTAGTTTGTGGAACTTTTTTATAGAAGTGGATGATAATTATGCATCATGCAATATTTGTAAAGCCAAGCTGTCTTATAAAACGAGCACATCTAATTTAAAAAAACACATGCAAGTAAAACATCCGGCCATATCATTAAACGTTGGAGCATCTTCAGGAAGTAATGTACAGCAGGTAATTTTTTAAAAATTCCATTTATTTAGCTCATTTTCATTAAGAGTATCAGGTTAACTTAAGTCAAATTAATTATGTACCAAAATGGTTTTTCTTTTGAAATAAATAATTAGATAGATAGATTTATTGTATATAAACAATTGTGACAAAGGTCTTATTTTTTACAGGATATTCCATTAGAAGAAACAGCAGCAATATTACAACCAAACAATGATGCTCAGGCAAGTAGTTCCAATATAGAACCTTTAACCAAGACTGTGCAGCGTCAAACCACTATTGCTGCTTTTATTCCCAAACGGGTTACACCGAAATTAAAAAAAAAATATAGATGATAAACTGATTCGACTTTTTACCGACAGTCTCCAGCCTTTTCGTATTGTTGAAGAACTTGCATTTAGACAATTTGTTGAAGCTCTTAATCCATCTTATGAATTGCCAAGTAGATACATGATATCTCGAACATTAATTCCAGCAATGTATGAGCAATGTGTTATTGAAACACAACAATTAATAACAAATTCCAAAAAGATATGTGTTACTACAGATTGCTGGACATCTTCAAATATGGAGAGCTACATGGGAATAACTGTTCATTATTTGGATGACGATTTTAAATTTATATCCCTACTACTAGATTGTTCTAATTTGCCTGTACAGCACACATCTATTAACCTGGCAAAAGAATTAAAGAGAGTTTTTGTCGAATGGAAGGTAGAAAACAAAATTTTAATGGTTGTTTCGGATAATGCAGCAAATATAAAGTGTGCCATAAAAAATGATATAAAAATGAAACATTTTGGATGTTTTGCACACACGATAAACCTCATTGTGAACGATGGCTTAAAGGATGGGGAAATCATTAAAATTTTAAACAAAATAAAAAATACTGTAAGCCACTTTAAAAAGAGTTCTACAGCAACTGCTAAACTTTTAGATTATCAAAAAAATCAGGGAATTGGCAATCCTCTCAAATTACTGCAAGATGTTTCAACACGTTGGAATTCAACATTTTATATGTTGGAAAGATTTATTCACCTAGAAGAAACTGTAAAGGCTATTACAGCTATAACAAATATGGATGCAAACAATAGTTTGACAATGTATGAGTGGAATGTTATTAAACAACTATGTCAAATTTTAAGACCTTTTGAAAAAGTCACTAAAACTATTTCAGGAGAAGGCTATTTAACAGCTTCCCTTGTAATCCCATTGGTAAATGGATTAGTCTCTGTTTTTAATGTATTTAAAGAAAAGACGTTTGAAAGAGCAGTGCGTAATGTTCTAATCAAGTTAGACAATTCCATAGAGGAGAGACTAGGTCGGTTAGAAAATAGTAACACACTGTCGATTTCAACTTTTCTTGACCCAAGGTTTCGACAAATTCCATTTAAGGATCCAACAAATGCAGAAATAGCAAAGAAAAATATAATCGCTCTAATTGCTGAAAAACTGGATTGAAAAAAAAAGATAAAGGTTCTATACCTCAAATTTATTAGAAAATGAGGAAACATCTGGAGATCCGGACGATATATGGGCAGAATTTGATAAGACTGCCTCACAGTATCAACCACGAGGCACCACGACAAGCAGGGCAATAATCGAAATGCAAAGATTTATGGAATGCGATCGGTTACCAAGAAATGAAGATCCTTTAAAATGGTGGAGAGAAAATAAATATATTTTTCCACATCTTGCAGAAGTAGCGCAAGAACGTCTTAGTGTCATTGCAACATCAGTGCCTTGCGAACGGTTATTTTCCAAGGCAGGTCTAATTATTTCGGATAAAAGAAGTCGACTTAATCATAAGAAAGCTAAAATGTTGCTATTCTTAAATTCAAATTTAAAAGTAACAAATAGTAGTAGTAACTAAAGTGTTTGTAGCAAATAGTAGTATTTAAAGTTATGCCTCTGTATTTAAAGTTTTTATGTTAGATTTTCTTTATTAAAAATGGTTAGACTTACTGAACATCTATTTATTAATTTGGACTTAGCATGTTATTTTTATATATTAAATATTTTCTTTCTTTTACCAAATGATATTTTAAGTTGTCTTTTATAATGTAATTCTATTTCTGAATATTTTAAAGTTTTCTAGGAATAATTGTTTAATTATATTTTCCTTTAGTTATAATTTATATTATAAAAAAATTGAATTTTCAAATGTATTAAAAAATATTTTGTTTTTTGTACACTATAATAATTAATAACGCTAGATTTGTAATTTTAAACAACAATAGTTGTAAGTTTTTTCAACAAATTTTAAATTCTTATTTACTTTATTTTTAAAACTTTGTATGTGGTATTATTGTTATTTTTATAAAATAAAAACAATGAAAAAACATCAAATTATTTATTAATAAAAAAAATTTTTCATTACAAAAACTACTTTTTGAATGAATTTTTTTTATGCTTATGTTTAGTCTAGCAAATCGTGACCTAGACGTGTAGAATTTTATGATGGTCCATAATGGTAACACTTATTCGGAGTTTAACATGCGACTTTTTCGTTGCACTGTTAAATCACAATCACAGGTAAAAATCACAGTGAATAAAAAATCACGATCACAGTTATACCTGTGATTGCAAAATCACAGTTTAGCCCACCTCTAGTCAGACTGGTATACCTTCTTCTTCTTCTTTATTTATTTGTTGGCTCGCATCCTATTCAATCCACTCAGCACTTGCCAGAGGCGGAGTTTTGTTATATTCAGCCAGGTTTAATTTTCAAATTCTTGCCCCCTTATTTTTTTCTCCTTGAAAAATAGCGAAACAAGAAGAAGAAACATTGAAACATATCACCACCATATATCACAGATCACAGATCACCTGGCCTGTGGAAACATATGGCGATGGTTCTTTTTATTTGTTTTTATTGAAAATTGAAAAAAAAAAACAGTTTAATGACAAGGGAATCTAGATCCATGATATATCAATCATGTCTAGATCTAGAAATTCTATACCTAAGGGATGGCTAGGATGCCCACAAAATGGTAACTCCTTAATTGCGAATATATTTATGCCGTTAAAAACACCTTTAGATCATAAATATGATACTAAACTACACCAGGATGATCGTTATTATCCACAAACAATATTTAGAAGAGCTGATAAAAATAAGGTAAACACAAAAAATACGATGTTATTTGTATAATAAAGTTCTATATTTATTATTAGAAGGTAATAGGCCTTTGGATAGACTTAACCAACACAGATAGATACTATCATCCCTGTGAAATTGAAGAGCGAAACTGTCGATATGTTAAATTAAGCTGCCCTGGTCATGGAAGTGTTCCTTCAAGATATGTTATAGACAAATTTTTACAATTATGTAAGGATTTAAAAGATAGGGATCCTGATGAAATCATAGCAATTCACTGCACACATGGATTTAATCGAACTGGATTTTTAATAGTTGTATATCTTGTGGAAATATTAAAATATGATGTGATGACTGCAGTCAAAGTGTTCGCAAATGCAAGGTTTGTCTTTTTTTTAATTACAACAGTAAAAGAAAATCACTGAATATTTATTCCCACTTTTGTGAACTAATTCTGAAGGATTATTGGGTTAATCTAACCTAAATGTGTAGTCTCTCTTATGCAAATATCGCATGCATTTCAAATGGTAACGTTATACAAGCAGTCTGCCTTAAGCTTGCAATACATGTTCCAATGGCACAGTAAGATTTTGTCAAATGCAATGGCAGTACAATAGAGTTGAATATAGGATGGGAACACACACGTACCTATTTTGCAGTATGAGTTTTACATTCAAATCAGAATAGAATAGAAAAAAGCTTTATTCTCAGGATTCACAAGTTACATGTTACACACAAATATAAATCGTCAATAGAGAGAATGGTGTCAATTACAATTTATACTGGTTGCTGTAACAACATACATGTTCCACTTTGTATGGTTCAAGGTGTATGAGCAACTGTTGAACAAACTTTCTATATTTATTTGTTAGTTTCTATTTTGATGCTGTAAGGCAGTTTATTAAAGAATTTAATACAGGCATATTCTGTGGTTTTCTCAGATGCTGTTAGTCTATGTATTGGTATATTATAGTTTATGAGATTGTTTCATGTATTAGTATTATGGTTTGTTATGTGTTTGAAGAATTTATGTCTATTTTTAAAAATGAAAAATATAGCTAATGGATTTTGACAAGAGCTATGACCTTGTAAATAACAGGTAAACTTGTGTACTAAATTGGCATGACTCCTAGCTCTTGTCAAAATCCATTACCTTTAAGCATTCACATATGTATGTTACATCCATTGTTAGTATGTTTAGCTTTTTGAAATTACCTCTACATCAGATATCAATATACTTTTAGTGGCTCTTGCTCTTTGTATAAACAAAAAAAATACAAGAAACATAGGTGGTGGTGCAAAGATTGGTTGCTGGAAAGACATAAATACTATATTTAGACAGATAGTTTTAATTCCCTTTTGTAACATGTTCGAAAATTATTAATTTTCTTTTTTACCAACTCTTCGTTAGTATCTGCTTTCACTTCTTAATATTTAGCAACCAAAATATTCACAGCTTTTTTTTCTAGCAGTTTTATCATGATATGATGTCGATTTTATTTTCCAAAGACACTCTTGTTCTTTATTATTAAAGAAATGTCTTAAAAACTTCTAGCCATAAGCTGTTTTCGAAATTCACAAGCAAATGATTTTTTTGCAGTCGTACGATATTGTCATTGTCACAATATACACGATAAATTTACGACCCAACCAACTCTGTCATACTGCTGCAGACATGCAGACTGACTTGTTTGTCCCTTGTCAAATCGCGCCTATTGGGTCAAATGGTGCAAATACACGATCAAATTATGTTCAATTTTGTAGCATTCGACAAAATCATACTACAGCGTTGGAACATGAGTGGCGCTTATGCGTCATACACAAAAAATCATATGCATCTACAGCATTGACTGCTTATTTCTCTATAGAAATTGCATGCGTCCAAGTCACAAAACACCAAAAACAAGCATTTGTAGGTTACCAAAACATGTTTTATGAGAAGAAGATAGTGTTTTTGTTTGTAGTATAAAACTTTGAATTTAAATTTTTGTTCTTATTTAAAAAATTCAATCTAACAAGGATAAGACTCATAGAGATTTTTGAGAGACCAAAGCTCTATAATCAGCACATAATGATTATATGGATGTAAATAAGAGGTATGTGTGGGAAATAATAGCAGCCAGCTTTGATGACAACAAAACAGCTGTTTACATCAATATAATTATAATAATAAATAAGTATATTAAATTATAAATATAATTTATGTAAACAACTAATAAATTTTTATTGAGCCACACAAAAAATAAAAACACAGTATAAAATATTGTAGATCATAAATGAGTTTTATTTTTTTTTTTTTAATTATATCAGTATAATTTTTGAAATGCTCTCCTCCAATTCTTGCTTTTTTAATATATGAAGATAAACCTATATATGCTCCATTAGTATAAAATTCCCACTGTTCAGTTCAATATCAGCTGTTCTATCACAAGCATCTAAATGCACAAGAGACTACCCAACCAGTGTGTAAGTCACTTGTGGCTACTGTTTGTATCAAACACAAGCAACAGTCACATAAAACACACTGTACCTTTGACTTACTAAAACTCTGGTACAGAACTAATTCCACAGGTTTTTAATGAAACTTTTCATGACTGCTAAATACTCACATTATTTAACATGTACTTTGTACTTTAGATGTTTAATCATTATTAATGTGAATAATATAATGTAAATAGGAATGAATTTAAGGTTAACCTGCAGTAATATTTCAGAAATACAAATAAAATGATAACATGGGAAGGTCAATGACTGTGTTTAATGTGAATAAACTATAATTATATTTAAAATTATATTATATTTGACTTTAGATTTCTACCTCCAGAATTTCCAAGGTGAAAATTAAATAAATATTACATATTTTTAATCAAGATTGTGGTTTATTCACATTAAATATAAAAAAGCCACAAGAAAATGGCTTCAGTATCATACACAGGAAAACATACATTTTTATCAATTTTTTTAGGCCACCTGGTATATATAGAGAGAACTATATAGTTGAATTATTTAGACTCTATGGAGATGTTTCAAGAACTCCAAGAGCACCCCCAGAACCCTCTTGGTGTAGCAAATCATAGCTGATGAAATATATATATATATATATATATATATATATATATATATATATATATATATATATCTACAGGGTGTCCCATTCAGTCAGCATCATATCCGAAACTTTTTTACTTTTAGTTTTATAAAAAAAATTCCTTTGTAAGTTCTGCATGTACTAAAAAAAAACAAATACTTAAATATTAAATTTTTCTTTCATATTCACTGTTTGCCCAAAAAAAATATAACTAAAAAAATAATATCTGATGATTGTATTCTCGGTTTGATATCATTCAGAGCTTATTAAAAAGAATAACTTTTTTTCATAAAACTAAAAATAAAAAAAAATTCCGTTTGCTGCAGATTTATTTTTAACATATGAGAAACATTTTTATTTTTAATTATTCTAGTTTTTAATTTTTTTTTAATTATTCTATTTAAATATTTATATTTATTTGTTAATTTTGTTATTTTGTTAATTGTTAATAAGTTTATTTTATAATGTTAAAATAAATATACCCACTTACGAAGACTAACCTCTTTTTTGTGATACGTGGTATACAGCCAGCTACAGGAATTGTTTTCCTTGTGGATTTTATTCTATTTAAGCATTCTAGTTTTAAATAAAACCTGGATTAGAATACAATACCATAAAATTAAAAATTAAAAAATTTCCCATATGGTCCAATTAAGTCTGTACCATATGTAAAACTTCGTTTTGTTTAGTTTGATCAAAAAAAGTTATTCTTTATAAAAGGTTCTAAATAATATTGAACCTAGAAAACAAATCACAGATATTCAATTTTTCCAAAAAATTGTCAAAAATATTAATTTTATGTAAAAGTTGTTATGTAAACATACCAAGAAAATAAAGAATAAAAATAAGGGATAGTAGCATAGGGAAGAATAATAATTATTTAAATAATTATTACATATTCCAAATTGAATAAGAACAAATAATTCTACATAACTAACATATACATTTCAAATTAAACCAAGAATTATAACTCGACCTAGTTTAGTTGCATTACAGGAGTCAATATCAGTTTGCAACAATTGTTTAAACGTAAAAAAATCACGTTCAAACAGAAACTGTTGTTGAAAAAATAACACCGCTCCTGACCCAGTTGTAGCATATGATTACTGAGTCAGCAAAAGCTCGACCTTGGAAAATGAGAATACGGGCTCAATAAAAAACAAACGAAGCAGGCCAGAGGGAGTCAGTAGTACGAAGGGAACCGTCGCGAAGGCTAGGCGACTCGAGTACGACGAATCGCGCGATTGTGGTTTCGCCGGGATATAGTACTGTATAAAGTGTCGGGTACTGGGGAGAGTGAAAGTTCATGACAGAGCACGGTATCACCCACAACTGAACTTGAATTCCAGAAGGACTGAAGGGCGTATTCATTAGCTAGGGCCTAAATACGCGAAGGTAACTAAATCTATATACTAACCCAAGTAATATATAATAGTACAGATTGTCAACCCTTTAATTTCTTGCTAAGGTGAACGAATCTTTATTGGTTATAACTGACAGCTTGTTAACTTAATTGTAGCATAGTCTATTTAATACATTTGTAGACTCGAAATTTGGTTTTAATGTTCCTTCCCGGCCGTTTCAGACAGAGACTAGAAGAGTACAAAATTTCTGCTTATGCATTTCTCTGGCTTCTTAGACTCAAACTCTTTACAGGACCTGAGACCTAGAAGTCCTTAAACCTTTTCCCAGATTTCCCTACCTTCTTGTAAATTCATGAAGGCGAACCAGCCAGTTCAGACTAGTAGGACCAGTAAGCCTGCCTCCGCTCGCAGGGATAAGCATCCTTTAAGGTTTAATTCGAGGATGTTACAGGGGTTACAGTAAATTTTACTCCGCCAGTATTTCAATGGTGACAGCGGACTGAACCCGCTACTTGTACAAAGTTAACAATATCCACAATTCATATTTTTTGACAAATCCCGTATATGACAGAAAAAAATTAATATATAATGATTGTATTTTAGAACATGCATAACTTTTTATAAAGAATATCTTTTTTTCAATAAACTAAAAATAAAAAACTTTCCATACGGTGCCAACTTAATTTGACATATATATATATATATAATATATATATATATATATATATATATATATATATATATATATATATATATATATATATATATATATATATATATATATATATATATATATATATATATGTAAAAGTAAACCTATGTTTATTTTAAATGAAACAGCAGGGTTTAGTTATTTTTAGTTAATTAAAGTTTTAGGTTGTATGACTGTTTAAGTTTTATTGACATTGACATATTTTAAATTGTATTGTCAAATTACTTAATGGCGTAAGAAATAGCATTGTTCTTGATTCTCTTTTTAGGTTTGTATATTTGTTAAGTTATGTTAGTTATGATATTATTGTTAATAATTTATATTGTAGAATTTTAATGATAATAAACTCTTTTTAGACGAATTCAAACTGCTATCTCTTCACATGAATAAGGGTATGATATTACACTTATAAATCAAGAACTTAAGCTGAAAAAACAAATATATAGTGATAACTATAAATTTCCAAGCCGTTATTTGGACAAAACGATATTTAAGGATGAATTTTACATCAATGAGAATTTGCATGGCTATAGAAGCAAACAGTAGTGATAGTAAGAAAAATGTATATAAATTTAAGTGGCTGCAGCCAACAGGTTCCCGTTTTTATTATGAAATTCCCTTTGAAAAACAACTTCAAATTGATCATTCTGAACTATTTCATCTGAAAAAAGTGAAGAATATGTTAGCATCTATGAAAACAAGAGGATCCTTTAGAACAGGTACTATAGCATTAGAAGACAATTTGAAGGAGATTTATTTTGATTCAGATGGTGATGTGGTTTATCAAAGTGAGTACTTACAACAGACCTTATTACCAGTGTATGAGAAGATAGAAACAACTGAACAATTTCCATCATTTGCTGAGTTGCTTCAGAAATTTAATGACACAAATTTACCTAAAGTTGAAAAGAAAAATTTTAAAAAAATAAAAGATGATTTTGTACTTAGAAATTTTGATGGAAATAATGTTCCAACGAATTCATGGCTCAAGACCTTCGAATCAGAATGTTTGCGATGTGAGGTGGTCGCTGATGAAGACAAGATTTTGATTCTACGTTTGTTTCTTGATGGAATAGCAAAAGAATGGTTTGAATCAAAAATAATAACATTAGGCTTAGATAACAGTTTTGAGGTATGGAAAATTAATTTTTTAGATAGTTTTTGTGAAACAGGTTGGCATAATCATAGGCAAGCTTATTCTTTTAGGTATATAGGTGGTAGTATTGTTGATTATGCGTTTCGTAAAGAAAATTTATTGCTAAATATTAAGAATGATTTTCCCATTGATATACTAATTGATTTAATTGTAACAAATTTGCCAATTTATATACAAGATAATATTAATAGAGCTGACGTTACAACAATGGAAAAATTGGTAGGTGAATTACGAAAATTGGAAAGTTTAGTTATAAAAAAGAAGAATAAATTGGAGACAAAACCAAATTTTTATCAAAAAACTACTATAATACCAGAAGAACAGAAAACTACTTGTCAATATTGTGATAAAAAAGGATTCCCTGGGAGGTTTCATCCAGAGGCAATATGCCGTTTAAAGCAAAAAGATAAAAAGGTAACAAAAGAAAGCAAATCAAATGATATTAAATATATTAATAATATTGCTATACAGGAGACATTAAATGAAACAGTAACTGACCAAAAAAACTAGATTTGCTGCCATTGATCAAATTAAAAGTATTCCTAAATAATCAAGAATTATGTGGAGTTTATGACCCAGGCTCAAATGTTACTCTTCTGAATTCGAAGGTGGCAAGAAAGTTAGGATTAGATATTCAAGAAGATAGGAATATTTTTAAAACGATAAATGGCAGAACTAATTTTACAGGAAAACTAATTGCAAAACTGAAAATTAATAAAATTGAGAAAAATATTAATTTTTTTGTAATTAATGATGAATATTTTGAGTATGATATTCTACTAGGATTAGATTCCATTTTAAATTTTCAAATGAAACAAGATTTTGATTTAGAAATTTATCAAAGATTATACGGAAGAATTGAAGAAAAAATCGAAAAATTTAATTATAATATTAATATTACAGAATACTCCATAAACTTTAATGAGGGAATTCCCACAGAACTTTTTGAAGCAAAATTAGAGCATTTATTGCCATATCAGAAAAATAAAGTAGAAATATTACTAAATAAATATGACAATATTTTTGCAAAACATAAATTTGACATTGGGCAGGTTCAAAATAATGAAGCTCAAATTAAACTTTTAGAACATAAATTTGTTGCAAAAAGGCCCTATAGATGCTCGATAGAAGACCAAAAAGAGATAGAATTTCAAATAGGACAATTATTAAAAGCAAATTTAATAGAAGAATCATCTTCACCTTTTGCAGCACCTGTTACATTGGCTTTTAAAAAAGATGAAGGATCTAAAACAAGATTGTGCATTGACTTTCGTGAGTTAAACAAATTAATTATTCCTGAACCCCAACCTTTTCCTTTAATTGACGAGATTTTGACCAAAACAAGGAATGCTAGGTTCTTTACTACTTTAGATATAAATTCTGCTTTTTGGTGTATTCCAGTTCGGATAAAAGATAAATACAAGACAGCCTTCGTTACCCAAAGTGGTCATTGGCAATGGAAATGCTTACCTTTTGGGCTTAAAACATCTCCTGCAATATTTCAAAGAATTTTAAGTAATATCATCAGGAAGCATAATTTAAATTCATTTTGTATAAACTACATAGATGACATTTTAATATTCTCATTATCATTTGAAGAACACTTAGACCATATAGAAAGACTTATGAAAGCAATTATTGAAGAGGGATTTAGACTCAAACTTCTAAAATGTAATTTTGCAAGAGAAGAGGTTAAATATTTGGGACACATTGTGGGAAACAATTCAGTTCGTCCGTTACATGATAATTTAATATCG